GCGACTGTTGCATCTGTATATAATGTTTTGCGGGCAAGGCAGAGCATGCATAATATCCAAGGGATTCCTTTCCCGGTGGCAGATGTCCAGCGTGTATAACACGCGGATTGCACGAAGAAAAGTCCAGCTCGTGCGTCCTTGCTCGTCCGAGCACCAGGTCACCATCTTTCGTATAGAAAGGTGTTCAATCGAGCAGCCATAAGCGTCGAGATCTATGTCTGCATTTGCCTGGTACGCAATTGTGATACCGCCAGGGAAGATCCGGAAATTGGAGCTGTCTCCACTGTATGGGTCGGTAAAGGCGCAGCGGAAGGATTCATCCAACTGAAAATCAGGGTGATGATGCGCGTTGTGAGAGTTGTCTCCATCGAAGAAGGTGATAAAAGTGTGTTCTTGCGAGTGATCGATGTGGGCACTAGTGGAGCGAGACAGGCGATTGCTGACAAAGTCCGGCAGTGGCTCCTCCAAGACACCGCATGAGGTGGTGATAGTCCAGGATCTTGTAGTATGGATGCAGGCCATGAGGAGCTCGACGGAGTGAGAATCTTCGCAGGCTATCTTGATGTCTGCGTTCAGATTGATCGGGTCCGCTGTTGACACGTCCTCGTCGAAGGCAATACGCTCAATTGTGAGGGTTGCCAAGTTTGGACATGCGCCCAAAAGTTTCAGCAATTGCGACAGGTGAGCGCGAATATCGCTGATCGGCTGCCGCGCGTAGTAGATGTGCAATCCTGTTTTAGGATAGAAGTCCTCGATCTTGAGCCCAGAGAGAGTCAAGTGGCGTAGCATTGGGGAATGCATGTTTGGTATACAGACTTCAATGTCAGAGCACCATGAGAAAACGAAGGTGTCAAGGTTGGCGAATGGTGTATGTTCTCCTAAGGATAGGAGTGGGGTTAAGCGGTGGGGAGCCAGGGGGCCGACGCTCATATAGTCATCAAGCATGTGGGCTTCTGTGCGCAATCCCATCGTGAAGAGGATTCTGGAGGCGCGTGGTAGTATGTTCGGGCCATCTTCGCTCAAGAGCCAGTACAGATCGTCGGAGGCGTTGCGCCCAATGTATGCTGCCAATAGGGAGTCTATATCCAAGACAACGGGGTAGTCTCCGGCACGTTGCAACATCGTGGTGATGGCATCACGACTCCGAAGAGAAAGCACAAAGTTCGCGTGTACCCTCTTCTCCTGAATAACGAGATCGCGCATGCGTTGGGAGACATGAGACAAGTTGAGGTATCCCAGGGTTGTGACCCTGCGCTCGCGACCTCTGCGTTTGATCAGATGAGTCCCTGGCGGATAGATCTCTGCAAGAATCTGGATTATTTCGCTCCAGACTTCATTGGGAGTCTGTGCAATGTATAACTACGTAGTTCGTCAGGTTTAATTACACTAATGGGTATTGAGGAAGAGGCGGCATACCAAGTCCATACAGCAGCTATTTGAAAAGTTGAAAAGTGGTGGTGGTGGTTAGTGGTCAAGACAGGTCGCGACTTTCTCTGCTGGAAAGGGGCACACGACGAGTACGTAATCAACAGCGGAAACTACTTCAAAATCCGCATCATGGAGAAGACAAGATGACCAACCACCAATTCATCACACAGTAAATCAAGCGACGTTGATAAGACTGTGAGCTTCAGTTACATTAGCTGGATAGTATGAGTCTATAGATTGCACATGTTCATGGTTGGAGTAAGACACATAGACCTGCTGATCGCCGCATTTGGCTCACGCTACTCATATCGCAATTACAATGGCTCAGAGAAATATGAGAGAGTCTCGATCCAGCGATGCTGCTGAGTCTTATAGAGGTTCCGAATTTATCAAATTGAGATCAAAGTCCGGAAAGCCATGTATTTGCTACTTCTAGTCAGTATCGATGATGTAGAAGGATAGAGGTAATGCTGCATACCGTACTCCATTTTCTCACCAGATGCCCGATGAGTGTGTAGTCTCCGTTCAGCTGATTAGTACAGCGACTATAGGTGTCTGCAAGTTCCTGATAATGGTCTGTTTGCCAAAGCCAGAACTCTCTTGAAATGTCAGCCATCTCGTTCATCTTCGTCTCTATCTGTGATGTCTGTGAGTATCAGGCACTGGGTATTCGACATAAGAAGAATTACATCTTTTCTGCACTGTAAGGCTTCCTTCTTAGGTTCATCCCTTTCACGCATACATCTTGCCATGTCTTGGTGTTCAAACTGTCCCATGCATGTCAATATATCTGCATTGAGGAGCGAATACTGACGTACCAGGATCTGGTGATGATTAGACCTATAGTAACTGGATTGCCGACTTCGCCCAATTTCTAGTTCAGTGCTGGCAGACTCTAGTTTGTCCTGAAGGTCAAGGACCATTTCTTTCAAGGTGGTCCTCTCCTTGCGCAGACTCTCATTTTCAATCTCAAGATCCCTAATTTGCCGACCAGCCTTCCAGATATCAAATCTTAGGTCGTTATTCTCAACATAAGTCTCATGTAGTGTCGAGGAGTCTCTGTTTTGAGCCTCATAGAGATGTTCTTCCTGGAGGGTGGGTGAGTCACTGGAAGTCATCGCAATGATAGAGCCAAGCAACGTGAAGATGGGGGTAAGATACTGTAATATACATGCCTATGGGACATGTTTATAAGGCGGCAGTATCGGCTGGCGTCATTGACAACCGATATTGCGGAAGCGCGTGAGGTAAGATGGCGGCAGCCTATTACTGAACATCCAGACGCTGTGCCGATAGCAACGTCAGCCGTGAGTTATTGGCTGTGCATGGGACTTGTACAGAGACGGATTTTATCAGCGGCAAGACTTACGCAAGGTGTCCAAATGACAGACAACGTTGATTTACAGACCCACATCAAACTCTCCACACAGTTGTGAGTGAGTAGTGACGGCGGAATTATCACAGTACTACACTGGCACTGTCACATTCTTTTACACAGCTTATCTACCGCCATTGCAATGCAACTGACATGTATGACATGTCCGAGTGTACAATATGCCGTTGCTACCGACCTCCGACCGTGCATTATACAAATGCATCGCAGGTCAAGTAATATGGTGTTGTAGTCATTTGGGCAGTTTGCCTTGCCTGTGAAGAGTTGGATCCTGACTACCCCTCGACCCGGAAGGTACGGGGATAGTCGGATCATATGACGTACAGGAATCAGCCTTTACAATCATTGTACGCAATTATACAATCTTCCATCACCGTGACACGTGGACCCTCACTGAATACAAGCTTGATGCGAAAGTTGTCTTTTGGTTCTAGCCCTCATCTTCAACTCCTGCCAACCTCATCAGCACTTGCCACCAGAGCCGATGTCGCCCGCACTATCTGACATGTCGACGGAACTCGTCCTTGCCATATTGCGAAATGCTATTGAAGCGGAGCCTACGTCTATATTAACCTATCTTCACGTATCCCGGCACTGGAGGACGGCCATTATAGGAGACCGTATTCTTTGTGCGGAGGCAGCGCCCCACTTCCGACAGAAGCACTTGATAATCAAGTTTCTTCAGTGGTCTGGCAGCGCTTGCCAACCACTGCTGTTGGATAACATACTGCGCCGATCCGATCTCAGCAGAAAAACCAAAGACACCATCATGGCACTGATACTGGACGATAGTGCAAGACTTGCCAATGCAACTCGCATCGAGAACTTGATATACTATTCGGAGGCTAGGTTGTTGGAAAGGATACAAGAAATCAAAACAGTTCCCTATTTGACATCTCTGCATATACACACGTACCATATCCGAGAGCTCCCTGAGATCCACGCCCCACGGCTGGTCTCTCTGGCGCTCATCTCGCAAAAGCACTCGGTCCTACTGGCACCTAACATCTTAAGCTTTCTCCGCCGAACTGCTCTGGTGCAAACACTGCGCCTCCAGAATATTGCATGCGCTACCTTGTCAGATAAGGATGAATCTTTGGAGCTAGTATCGCTCTCCAAACTAAAGACGCTTACAATTGAGAAGATACTTCCCAGCCAGTATCGCACCATCGCTCATCTGACTTCCCAAAGTCTACTGCTGTCGGAAATCTCATTGAAACTTACTGGCCCACTCCCTCTCAAAGAAGTGTGGCCCGTGTTTACAACCAATATGTTCATTCGAGTTCATGTCACTATCTTCCCATTTCAATCTGGCGCCCATCTGCGGATAAAGACACAGCCAACTTCTCCTGTGTACCCATTCACACTCGACATGTCAAATGTTCTTGTCGCCCAGTCGGATATTATTGAAAAACTCTACTGCAAAGGTGTATCGGAGGATCCAGATCCCATGCAGGATGCGCTCACATATGCACATGTAACCGACAGTCTGACCCTCATTGCCCCTTACTGGGAAGGAAACCTGCTACATGCCTTCCCTCACAATATGAACGGAGCACGAATGGACGAATGGCTACAATCCTTCACTAAACTGCGGAGCCTGACAATCGACTCCTCTTTGGCAGATGTCGTTGGTCTACGGCACAACTTCATACATCCGACGCTGCAAAGCCTTCATATTATTTGCGGCATACATCCGCATAGCACAACAGGAGAAGAGAGAGTTGCAATTCGATTGGTTGCAGAATGGTTGAGGGCAATGACATTTGCACAGCCCATACATGTCAGACTTACTGGGAAAAGATGTCAGCCAGACTGGTTGCCACTAGAGGCTCTGCGCTCGTGTACGGCAACACTGGAAGACAAGAGAGTATGAAGGCAAAGCTTATGGCATATGGCAATGATATGACGTAGAGTGTATTTGCGCAATCTTGTCATTACTGCAGGATAGCCTTGGCAATTTGTCTAGCACCCTGGTCTCACACAGTACTTGATTCTGACCATGTTTACATCAATTGGCAACCTACCAGAGTACTTTGTTCTGCGTGAGGCTTGCATATTGTGCTATTCTACAAAGTCTTTACTCCCTATGTATTATAATGGCTACTATAGTAGGCTGTGGTAGAGTCAGAAAAGTAGCCCTTGAATGCTCTGATCTTGGTGACAACAAAGCTCAAATATGATGTCAGGGATGACTCGTTCCTGCCGACAGTCGGCCCACTTCAACCAGTTCAAGTTCTTCAACATCGAGACGGACTCCAAAAGTGGCATCACCAAAATGGCCCTCTCTCAATCTGCAGTGACCGTCTTTGGCCACCTTAGTATTTCTGCCATTACAAAGGGATTTACCAAGTATGTATACAAAGTCTGTGGACTCGCGCAAGGTCCTCTGGTGGCAAAACAGTTCTATAACATTGGTGGTAATTGTCTCAGCTCTAGCGAGAATAACTTTGCCAATCTGCAGCTTGAGGTGCAGTGTGTCCAGCAGCTTGGTTACTTTCTCAAGAAGTTCTACAAGTATACTTGTGAGTCATGGACCAAAGTTGACTTCAGTATGTCTCATTATTGCTGATATTTTGCTAGGTCTGACCGCTCTCATGTAACTTTCTCGGTGACCAAAGTATGGCTTGCACAGGAAATAGGGCGGCCAATGTTTAGAGCTGATACTTGTACTTACTCAGCTGCTTCTGGGGCTGGTGATATGAAAGACAATGATGGCAACTTCAAGGGTGTCTTCTAGATGCTAGAGCCATCCCGCTCTTCTGACAAGGTGGACTATTGGTCGGGTACAATAGTTCATACACCAGAACCAGAACACAAGTCAGCCACTATTGCATCATTTACTCACTTCTGCTACGACTTGAGCCATGGCATGTATGTCTATGCCAATATGTAGAGTACATCACATCGGTCTTTACATTGCATTGGTCTTGTCATCTTCCTTATCACTTATCTCACTTGCAGGCACTGCAGTGAATGAACAAGGGGCACTGCACAATATGCTCTTTGATCTCATGACTCATACCAAGGAAGGCTGCGTCTATCAACTTAATATCGATAACTTCCATTGCTTATATCTCACTTGCAGACAATCAGGCATTGGTGATGCTGGTGAAGAAGGTATCACAGCATTTCTCAAGCAGCATGTGTGCAATAATCAGTACTGCAAGATACAGCTTTGTGATCTGAAAGAGATCAGCAAAGAGGTTGATTACTGTATAGATTCGACCTGAAGTTCGTAACGCATCACGCAGGTCGCCGAACTTGAACTCCCGTAACGCGTAACGCGGGGGGTCCGAACTTGATAAGCGTTACGGTCGGTAAATTGCTGAAATGATCGATTAAGTTCTAAACTTTCTCTCGAGCCTAGCCGGCCTGTTAAAACAGCACGTACTGTAAGGATATGTGGCCTCAAGTATGATAATACTTTACGAGGCACTCTACGTCCCCAGATCATGGCTGTAGCCATGCTATCTCACGGGTAGGTCGGCCACGAACCGAACTACCGTAACGCGTAACTCGGCCATCTGAACTCCGTTTTGGATGAACTTATCGGTGCGTCACGCGTAACGCCTCGCGGCCATGAACTAAAGGTCGAATCTATACAGTAGCTTGGGGAGGATTGAGAGCGCACCAGTGTGGACTATTGCTTACTGATATATATATATTGCCACATCACCTTGTCATATATATATGAATCCTATACTTTGAACTTGAGCAATAAGTCCACATCCATGAGCAAGCAACAAGTGGGATTGTATCCAACCAAGCCACTAAGAGATGTGTATACATGCTGGCAGGGCCAATGCAACATCAGGCACCATATTTGAGTACGCAAACGCACTACTTGTCTATCCTGGCCCACTATACATCTTACACAATTGCTTATGGGTAGTGAGTCCCTGCCATAGCAGCTACGGACCAACGGGCAACAGTGAACTGTTGGGAATGATAATGTGAAGCATCCCACAACATGAGAGTTGCGTTCAAGCTGCAATTTTGCACTTGGTTTGCTCGCCGTGCGGCGCCGTGGCTGTCGGAACCGTCACCGCTATTTACACCTAATATAAACATCGCCGGCAGGTGGTCAGACAACATTGACACCTTTTTCATTCACAGCACTCTAGTGCAATCCTGGGAAAGGTCAGGAGCACCAAATCTTCCACGCCAAGAGTGTCGGTGCAGAGAATTCTACATTCTTAGACACTGTTTGTGACGCCAAGATAGTGTCCTCAGACGGAATGACGGGGGATCCTAACGAAGGTGTCATGAAGGTGTGGATTTGGCGAGCCCGATAAGCTCCGCCAGTGAGCGAAGTTCCGTGATCTCCTTTCCGGAGCTGAGAGACCCTCGTAGCGCCGAGGACGGACTTGAAGGGCAAGGGTGCACAAGCGAGTGTAGGTCGCGTAGGGGGCGAGCGCATGAGCGCGTATAGTTCTCGGGTCAGGCGTAAAGAGTGCGTGTTGCCATCCCATTGTCAGGAGGGTCACTCGATCACTCTTCAACGAACTCGTCTAATAGCAATAGGATGAAAAGAGATGTATTTGATTCTGGAGCTGAAGGCGAGTTGAGGCGACAAGACGGTGCGAACGAGACGAGTAGGTACGAGTTGAGTAAGAGAGAATCTAAGACGAGAGGCGAGAGTCTAGAGAAAAGAGAAAGAGAGAAAGAAACGAGAAACCAAGAACGTAGCAACCGAGAAAGATATGGAACGAGGTGTGTGTAGTGGTTAGTTATTAAGTCTTTTCCGTGCCGTGCACGTGTTATGCGTGCTTCAGCCTTTTCCAGCAATATTCCCCATGTGTCTGCCTATTTGTGTCACACTGTTTCTCCCACGTGTTTGCCATAGCCATCCTTATACACTCTGCGGCTACTGTACTTTACTGTTGGTATCGGCGCGGCAGAGGGGACTTGTGTGGTTGGGCAATGGTGTGACATCATTGTTTACGGCGTGACCACACACATCAAAACAAAAAGTCAAAAGTTTGACCTCGACCTTCCCACATACCCTACTGAGCCTGTGCATGTGAGGCAATCCGGATATGATGGTAGGCTTGCAGATGCTGGTTTGCAGACAAACCATGGCAAAAGAGCTGGTGACAGTGCTCTGTGCTGCCTCAATGACTTGAGAGACATTTGTGTGGTATCTAGATACCAATGAGCCCCTCTTCAGCACATAATACTCTATGGTTTGACATACATAGTCTCTAGATCATCAGCTTTGGCTTGTACAAGTGTACTGATGTCAACATCACTATGATCACAACCTGCCATGATGTAATTGTTTGGCTTCAGCGTGACTGGGAAGTAAATTGGTGACCTGCAATGGTTCGGCTGTCACGTGACTCAGTAATATCTTTATTCTTATTCTTTTTCTTTTTCTTTTTCTTTTCTGATCTGGCATCTCAGCATCTTGGCATTCCGGCACACAGACTCCGGACTCGCATGACTCACACCGTTCACATATGACTCGGCCTGCTTACACATCCTTCCCTTGTCAGCGGGGCCCGGCTCGCTCAGTCATCCACCTACTTGTCCGTCTTCATCATTCCGTTCCCGCACTGCCTTGACCTGTATATAAGACTCTTTGCCCATGTATCTAAGCTACTTTAGTTCGTCTATCTTGCAATCTAGCCTGTTGGCATTCTCCTCTGTGTCATGGTTCGGCTACCTATTTTCATTTTTCTTATCATTTCATTTTTCTTTTCTTTTCTTATGTTTTACTTCTTGTTTTCCGTTTTTTATTCTTGTTTTGACCACTTATGTCATACGATCATGCTTCTTTTGATGTCCCTTCAAGTAGCTGATCTCGCATGTATCTTACGAGTAGCTTGTCAATTTGCTTCACTTTCCATACTTGCGCATCACTCTTGCCCGCCTAGTGGCGGCCCCGAGGGGCCCATCGTCATGTCCTAGGGCCGAACTCTAGCTCTCTGCTCTCTGTCTGTATCTTGCATACTCCAGTTCTTGATAACTGTCTGTCTGTGTGTCATCTTGTGCAGCTCGGAGGTCCCCACCAAGTGTGTCCGTAGCATGACTCGTACTTGTGGTGTCCCACCATTACACCTTGAAACTGGCAACCGACACACTTGGAATGTCCAACTATACCATCAACAGCAGCCATACCTGGTGTATCTGCTCTAATGCATGTGAGGAAGGGATGGTCCTCAATGAGCTCGTCTTTTGAGGCATCCCAGACACAAAGCCCCTCACTTTGTATAGCCACCTCTTGCCGAGAGGTGGTGAAAAGCGGTGTAGTTGAAGGTGTCCATGTTTCGTGGCTTGTTGGGCCTGGGAATTGTGCTGCCCGGCAGCACATACTTCTTCAAGTAGTGCAGATCCTCAGATACAGATAAGATTGCCCAGATAGAGATCCAGCAGTTTGATGCCTTATTCTGATACAGCTGGGTACCATTGGTACACCAGAGCAAGATGCTATTAGTGGGCTTAATGTGGCCGGCATGTATATGGGATAGGAGGCATTGCCCTATGTTGGAGTTGTCGATAAGCTCGACCTCAGTGGGCCTATTGAGGATGAGATCCTCCACAACACGCTTCAAGTGCTCCTCCTGGTGATTTATTGCACGAGTGGAATCGGGGTATAGATGATGGGCAGCCAGCTAGGACCCAAGCAAAATGGTGACACACTGCTGCCGAGGAACCTTCTTGGTCTCTGTACTCTTCTAAGGGTGCCAACGGTTCTCGCTACAGATCTGGCACTTTGGCTCGTTGCTTAGAAAGCCTACAAACGAGTGGCACGAGGTGATACAACAGTCGTCATAGATCTCAACAACACTACTGCGGTTTTAGACCACCTTTTTCACCTGCCAGTATGAAAGCATGTGGAGCTCGGGGAAGCAAACACGGTTGATTGCATAGATAGCTTTGTATATGCACTTCGCGCCATCCATGATAGCAAGAAAGACATTGATAGAATAGCACTTATCAGTGTCATTGAGCATGGGCATCTCATGTGGGGGATTACTGCTAGGGCCGCACTTAGGGGAGATCTCCAAGTTGCGCTATTGGCACTCAGACAGACGGACAGACAGATACCAAGTACAGGAACCCAGTGAAAACACGAGGGTATGCAATGGCAGAGACAGGGGGAACAGAGAAGAACGCCACAGAGGGTGGATTGCAAGATGGATGAACTAAAGGAGCTAGGGTACATGGGGGGAGAGTCTTATATATAGGTGAAGGCAGTGCAGGAACAGGATGACAAAGACAGACAAGCAAGTGGATGACTGAGCAAGTCGGGCCCCGCTAACAAGGGAAGGGTGTGTAAGCAGGCCGAGTCATACAAAAACGGTGTGAGTCATGTGAGTCTGGAGTCCGTGTGCTGGAATGCCGAGATGCCAAGATACCGAGACAGAAAAGAAAAAAAAAAGAATAAAGATATTGCTTGGGTCACGTGACGGCCGAAACATGGCATTGCCCCCTCTCTAAGATATGCTTACGCCCGGAGCATGTTGTCTAGGGTCCCTGGTAATTTTTTGGGTGCGGCGCTCTGGGATGACGTTTATGGTACTCAGCTATAGCATCCTTCGCGTTCTTGAGAGCAGACGCCGGTCGCCACAGGTTCGCCATGTCCGGATAGCCCTCCCACTTGACAAGGTATTCAAAGCCACGCTTGTTCCTGGTTTCTTGGCCGTTGAGGATGGCCTCCACCACATATTCCTCCTTGTCGTCGACCAACTCAGGTGGTTCCTCCATGTAGTTGGGGCCGTGTTCTGGCGTCTCCACGTATGGGGTGAGGAGCTGAGTGTGGAAGACTGTGTGAATCCACTTCCAAGTCTTCAGAATGTCAAGACAGAAGTTGATGGCGGTCTCCGGATTGCCGAGGACCTCTGTGATAGTAATCGGCCCATGCCGCTTGGCATCGAGTTTTGCCTTCGGTTGTATGGATTTGAGGTTCTTGCCCTCCAACCAGACCTTGTCGCCGACTTTGAATGGCTTGTAGCTAGCCTCAGGGACGCCGTAGCAGTCCTTCATGAGTTCCGCAGCGATCCGCAGGCTAGCCTGGGCCTCCTCGCACACGGACTCGAGATGACGTAGCCAGTCCCGAAGATGTGGGAAGCGTGCGGCAGGGTTGAGCTGGGGGTAGGCATGCGGCGTGAAGCCATAAAGCAACTCAAATGGTGACTTGCCAGTGGATGCCTGAACTTGCGAGTTGTGAGCGAACTAGGCTAGTGGGAGCCAGTCAACCCAGTCGTCCTGGTGGAAATTGCAGAACGCGCGCAGATATTGTTCCAGTTCCTGGTTGAAGTGTTCCGTTTGGCCATCCGTCTGGGGGTGGTAGGAGGTGCTGAGTGACGACTTAACCCCGAGTTTGGTGAGTAGTGTTCGGGTGGTTTCACTAGCGAACTGGTTACCACGATCAGAGATGAGCTGTTCCATAAGACCGGTGTGAGAGAAGACGTAGCGCATGAACAGAGACGCTGATCCCAGGCTGTCGACCGTCTTAGTCGTGGGAGCAATGTAGACCATCTTGTATCCACGGTCCACATATACGGCAATCGAGTCGAAGTCTTGACAGGGTGGGAGGTTGGTTATGAAGTCGGTCATCATGATCTGGAAGGGACACGTGGGGACCTTGTTTGGATGGAGTGGTACCTCCGGTGGGTGGTTGCGTATCTTCATGCGTTGACAAGTGGCATAGCCTCGAATGTATTCGCGGATGAAAACCGACATACCGGGCCACCAGAAGTCCCTCTGCACGAGTTCCATTGTACGCATACGTCCAGGGTGGCCTGCAGCTGGTGTATCGTGACAGAGACGTACAATGTCGCGCCGCAGGTCCTGGTTGTCGGGAATATAGAGGCGGCCGTTGTATGTCAGGAGACCGTCCTTCTGCTCCCAACCAACAAGCTTGTGCTTAAGAGCAACTAGTCCCTCCTCCTGGATAATGTGCAAGGCCTCTGTGACCTTCTGATCCTTTGTGTCCGTGTCCAGGATTTGCTGCCTCACATCGTCCAGGGATACCAGTTGAGTGGCGTTAATGGACACCTCGGCTGCCAGGAATAGGACATGGTTAGAGTTGTCCTCAGAGATGCCAAGGCGATGATCAGGATGGCGGGACATGGGGTCGGCATGGTTGTACCGGCCGGGGCGACGGCGGAGGATGAAGTCAAAGCGGGATAGATATAGGGCCCACCGAGCCTGGCGCCGGTTCAGCTTCTGTGCAGTGGTGAAGTACTCGAGGTTCTTGTGGTTGGTAAAGATCTCGACTTGGTGAGGGGAACCCTCGAGATAATGGTGCCAATCCTCTAGCGCGCAGATGATGGCCAGCAGCTCTTTATCGTGGGTGTCGTAGTTGCATTCCAGGGCAGTGAGGGCATGGGAGAGGTATGCCACCGGATGCCAGTCATTGTCCTCGCCACGTTGTGACAACACGGCGCCGATGGCAAAGTCCGACACATCACACTCTACCTGGTATGGCTTAGTAGGGTCTGGCATAAGGAGGACGGGGGATGACGTAAATGCGTGCTTCATCTTGTCAAAGGCCTCTTGCTCCACCTCCTCCCAGCGCCAGGCGACCATCTTCTTGGTCAGTTCAAAGAGAGGGCGTGCAATAAACAAAAAGTCGGTGATGAAGCGGCGATAGAAGTTGGCGAACCCGATGAATGACTGAACCTCCTTGACGTTACGCAGACGTGGCCAATCCATAACACCAGCAACCTTGACCAGATCCATAGCGAGGTGGTTGTGGGAGATGACAAGTCCCAAGAACTCAAACTGGTCCTGCTCGAACTGGCACCTCTCCGGCTTCAGGTACAAGTTGTTTTCTTCCAACCGTTGCAATACACGTTGCACAATGTCCCGATGTTGAGTGATGTCTTTTGTGTGCACAAGGATGTCATCCATGTAGATGCTGATGACACCCTCATTGATCATGTCCCTGAAGACCTCATTTATCATAGTCTGGAATGTGGCGGGCGAGTTGGTTAAGCCAAAGAACATCACCAAAGGTTCAAACAGTCCCAAGCTGGTCTTGAACGCCGCCTTCCACTCATCGCCCTCCTTGATCCGAATGTTATTGTAACCCCACCGGACGTCCATCTTGGAGAAGACCTTGGCACCAGTGAGGCGATCAACAATGTCACCGATAAGTGGGAGCGGATACGTGTTCTTGATGGTGCCCAAGTTGAGGATGCAATAGTCCTGAACAGGGTGCAGAGTGCTGTCTTTCTTTTTGACGAAGAAGAACAGACTTGCCATGGGTGATTTTGAGGGGCGGATGGTACCATGGTCCCGGTGCTCTTTGACGAACACCTCTATGGCTGCCTTCTCATTGCCGGGTTGGGGATAGAGCTTGGCGTTTATGGGATGGGTCTCAAGGTGCTTTTCAAACTCCGGCTTGAGGTCAATAGTGTGGTTGTGCTTGCCGTGCTCCGGTAGGCGTTCTGAGACCTTCTTGTCGAACACCTTAATCCATGGTCGGTACTGCTCTGGGACAAGCTCTTCAAGAGACTTAGCTGGGGTCTGGGCAGCATGCTCCTCCACCAGCTCTTGCGATCATGTAAAACCCGCGCGGATGTGCACAGTTGGATCACTGTCATCTTCAGGATCTTCGGTGTAGTCCGTTGTGAATAGGATGGTATTGCCAGGCTCGAATGTACAGTGTTTGATATCGAGGACAATCCATGCAAGCTGTAGGCCCCTGAGTACCCAATCGACTGACACGGGGATAGAAGCGACGTCCTCTAACTCATCTTTGTAGTTCTGTTCTAATTGGAAAGACACCGCAGGTGTTGACAGTACAGCAGATGCCTCCTTAACTGTTGGTAGCTCGTCCAGGGTTGTGTCCAGGGAGCAAGCGCGCAGCTGCAAGCGGAGGCGTATGTCTTCTGCATCCGGGACATTTTCCACCGTAACAGGGTTTTTGCGCGCCGCCGGGACGGAGAGAAGCTCAGGCGCGTCATTGTCGGTGTTGATGAGGATAGGGGAGTCAGCGGGTAGTGCTGAGGCCCGTTGCCATGCACGAAGGTGAATGTCCTCATCATCATCAATTTCTTCAATCAAGACGGGCCGTTTTAACGACAGCGGATGGAGTGTGCGGAGGTGAGTAACAGGAGGGTTGACAAGTGTGCAGTCTGGAGGGCAGCGGGTCATATCCACGCGCGACTTGGACCAGTCGACTTCTGGGTTGTGCGTGTGGAGCCAGTCCGTGCCGAGGATGAGATCGTGGTCACCGATATCCGCGACAAAGAACTCAATAAGTTCCTCATGATAGGACACCTCGTCCTGTGATGGTAGCCGCAACAGTTGTGTGACGGTGTAGCAGATAGGTCCTATACCATTATCAGACCCATCAACATTGCAGACAGGGATTGGACGTGGGAGGCGAATGCGGGGAAGATTGTGTTGGCGAGTGAACGATAATTCAAGAGGATTCCTTCAGCTCCACTGTCTTGAAGAGCGGAGGCGTCGATTTTATGTCTAGTGACTGGTCCCACAAGCTGAGCGCTGAATACGATAGACGGTGTCTGTGCATTTTTGACAGCTGATATATATATGCATTCAGGGTACGAGCGCTTACAGGTGGTGGTACACAATGGGGCCTGAGACATACTGGCCCTGCGCAACGACGCGGTGACAAGGCGATTTAAAAATCCTTCAAGCTCTCCTTGAGCTTTGCCTTCTCCTCCGCTCCCAGCGCAAGCAGCCACGCGAGCAACTCATCCAAGTCCCCCTTCTCCGTCTTCCTCTTCTGGTTGGGGCAGTTCTCCACCATATGGCCATCCTGCCAGCAGTAGAAGCATCCGTTGGATGCAATGAGGTGGTCCTTCTCCGCCTCGGTGAGCTTTGTGTATGCCTGGACCCGGACGACAGGCTGCGTGGGAGTGGCAGCCGCTGCCTCCTTCTTGGGTGCTTGATGCGCGGCGGACTTCTGAAAGGGGTTGCCTAGCTAGGCCTTCTCCTCCTTGCGCTCCGCCCACATAGCCTCATCCTTGTCAAGTGCTGTCTCCTTCCACTCATTGATGGTTCGTGGCCGGTTGGGCATGTCATCGATCTTCTTGCGGAGGGTCGGATCCAGTCCACGACGGAAGGCCTACTTGAGCACGCTATCGTTGTAGTCTACCTCGAGCTTGAGTTGCTCAAAGGCAGCCACGTAGTTGCGGACGCTCTGGGAGCCCTGCTGGAGACGTTCAAACTTGGCCTGGGCGTAGCGCTCCTTATCGACAATGCCGAAGTGCTTGCGGAAACACATGACGACCTGCTGCAGTGTAGCAACCTGGGGCCGTGTGACATCCCTGTGGCGCTCGTTGAGGTACAAGCGCATGATGCCTGCAGCCCATGGGTGGCCGAGCATGCCCGTGCAACCTTGGAGGAACAGGTATACCTGATTAGTGTTTGCGCGGAAGCGGGTAGGGTGCAACTCAATAAAGTACGCCATCCGATCGATGTACGGCTCCACGTCCTCTTCCTTGTCTGTGAATGCTGTGGGGAGGGGGAGCTTGGGGTCCGTGGGCTGGCACATCGGATGCTCGAGGTCACTCCACTCATAGGAGCCGGCCTCGCTGGGCATTGTCGAGTAGCGGCCGCAGAACTGTCCTGGAGGGAAGCGCCACGCCATGTCCGACCTGTCGCTGACCGTGCTCGCCGTCTCCTTGCTCTCCTCCCAGGTGTTCTGCTGCTGAGAGGTTTGCTGAGTGGTTGGCTTTGCCGTGCGCTTCCGGAACGGGTTGTTGGGGTTGTAAGGGAACAGGTTGGCCCTATAGTTGGGAAGATAGGGGTTGGTCTAGTATAGCTGGACGGATGGCGCCCGGTCGCTAAGGCTGATGACCGGATCAGCCTGCTGCTGCGTCTGCATGTCCGTGGCTGGGTTCATGATGTCGGCTATGTTTACAAGAGGGCTGGGAACAGCGGCTCGACATGGTGCTGGTTGGGTGAGTGCGGGCGGTTGTAGGGTGCTGGTGGAGGTGTGTGGGAAAAATGGTGCTAGAGATCCTAAGCGGGAGGAGTTGTAAGGGCGAGTGATGAAAAATTCGATTTCTTCAGGCGTAGGTCCAATGTTGACGTCCGTTTGAAGACGCGATAACCAGACGTATGGAAAGTTGGAGTCGTTGTCAGGGTTGAGTATGATGTAGTAGCGCCGCCTGTCGATGACGCGATGGATAAAGTGTTTCCTCGCTATAAAGTCAAAATAGACTCCTTTTGGATGATCCATGGTGACTTAGCAGAGGATGAGGGGATATAAGCGTTGAAGGGGGTCGAGCGCAAACTTGCGGTCGTTGTAGCGAGTACTGAAGGCAGCACGTATGCCCGAGTATACGCGCGGGAGTGGGCGGAGGCGGTGACTGTGGGAGCGGGTGATACGCGCTGCGACTTGCTCGTGTGTTGGGCGGATGACCGTGTTCCACGAGATGCAAGGTTTGCCGGTACTAAAGGTGAGGACGTCGAGGACAATCCAGTTGCTGTTGGTGCCAGCGTATGGGTTGGGGCCGATGTCTTGGATCAGGTAGAAGGTCCAATGAGTACGCGTGGAGTGGTGATCCTTAACCTTTTTGACCAGTATATAGACGTGGCTATAGCGGATGCAGTTGGAGCCAGAGAGCTCGTCGAACCACTCGAAGTGATTCTTGGTGGTGACGATGGGGTCAGCAGCCGGAAAGGTAGGTTCCGGGCGGATATTCAGATCAGATGTGTCGAAGTTGATAAGGAAGAAGGCCACTACAGCTGTGTCAATAATGCGCGGGGCGGAGTAGGGAGAGTTCGTCCAAATGCTAGGGCC